TGTCTTCTTCACATTGATGTGAAAGTTATTCTCTTTGCACCAGCTCTCGAAGTGTTCCACCTCTTGCCTGTAGCTGGACACAATCAATGTTTGTGATGCATCCCACCACCGCTGTGTCATGTGCAAACTTTACAATTTGACAGCCTGGATGGGTAGCTGCACAATCATAAGTGGGCAGAGTAAACAGGATGGGGCTCAACACACATAGAGCCTGTCTTGTGTGGGATTACTCCTTCTGCCTGGCTCCTGAGTTAGTAGGGACACTGTATGCTCTGTGATACAGAGTGAATAAAGCACCTCAGACTGTTTTTGTTGTTATTTATTTAAAAAGGAAAGATGAAAAACCCAGCAGGATCAAATCATTATTTCCTCTCACTGTATGTGTGTGGGCTAAATTCTAACAGCAAAGCAGAGCGAGCTCGCTGAGCATAATCAGAAAAACAGATTACACACACGCACAACTATTTTTGTTATGATTCATTATTATGATGATATGATCCAAGATGGCGCCATGTACGGTCGCCCTGGCATTCTGGTGCGCTCTGTTTTTTCTGTTTTTGTGCGTTAATCATGTGTCTGCGTGCTCCTACACTCGCGAGGAGCTACTAAACATCAGAATTACAACCCATGAGGACATTACTCCAGTTTTTTTAGTGCCTGCTGCAGAACTTGTGCACTTTTTGGCCAAAAGAGCGAGACTTCGCAGGAGGGGCAGAAGAGCCGGAGCGCTCGTGCGTCTCCGGAGGCGCGGTACACGCACGCCTTTACCTGGGATATTCCTCTCCAACGTCCGTTCCCTCTACAATAAAATGGATGAGATAGCGCTGCTGATGAGGAGGAACAGCAATTTTTCCTCCTCCTGTGTGCTATGTTTCACGGAGACATGGCTCAACGAGCAGACCCCGGACTCCGCACTCCATCTCGAGGGTTTCCAGCTCCTCCGCGCTGACAGACAGCGGGAACTTTCCGGAGGAAAGAAGAAAGGCGAAGGAGTCTGTTTCTTTATCAACAACGCCTGGTGCTCTGACGTGACAGTGATCTCCCAGCACTGCTCTCCTTCTCTGGAATATCTCTTCATAAACTGCAAACCGTTCTACTCTCCATGTGAGTTTACTTAATTTACTCTGGCAGCTGTTTACATCCCACCGTGCGCGGACGTGCACGAGGCTGAGCGCGCGCTCGCGGACCAGATTACGAGTGTAAAGCGGACTTTTCCGGACTCCCTTGTTATTATCCTTGGAAATTTTAACAAAGCAAACCTCAGGCACGAACTACCTAAATATAAACAGTTTATTAAATGCCCGACAAGAGAAGGAAACACGCTGGACCACTGTTACACCACAGTGAGCAGTGCTTATCGTGCTGTGCCTCGTGCTGCCCTGGGTCTCTCAGATCATGAGATGAATCACCTCATACCTGCATACAGACAGAGACTGAAGCTCTCAAAACCTGTGGTGAGGACATCCAAAATGTGGACCAGTGAAGCTGTGGAGGAGCTACGCACGTGTTTGGACACCAAAGACTGGGACCTGTTCAGGGCTTCTACAGACAGTCTAGACGAATACACAAACACTGTGACATCATATATACATTTCTGTGAGGACAGCATCATCTCATCACGCTCTAGAGTCATTTTCAATAATGATAAACCCTGGTTCACATCCAAACTAAGACAGCTTCGTCAGCAGAAGGAGGCTGCTTTCAGAGAGGGGGACAGAGACAACTACAGACGTGCGAAGTATGGATTTAGCAGGGAGGTGTCGAAGGCTAAATCCAGGTACAACACACGGCTGGAACAACAATTCTCTGCAAATGACTCTGCCTCTGTCTGGAGGGCTGAAAGAGATAACTAACTACAAGCCCAGAGCACCTCATTCTACAGACAGTGGGTATGTTTACATGGACATAAGTAACCGGATCAAATGGCCGGTCGGAATAAAAGTGTGTCATGTAAACACTCTGTTCGGGTTATTTTTTGTGTATTCGGCGCGATCCGTTATAATTTGTGATCAGAACGAAACGGGTGGTTTACGCCGATCCGAAACCCGATCGGTGCGCATGTAAACGCTTGATCTGTTCGTTTTTATCTGATGGTGAAAAACTGACCTGACTGCGCATGTGCGACTTTGCCATTTCCGCCTGGCTAACGCTAATAATATTAGCATGTCAGGGAAGTAAAACTGGTCGGTGAGCGACACAACATTTCTACTAGAAACTTTGAAAAAGCTCAAAATGATTTCTATTACCTGTAGCTCAGTCAGGGAGTGCAATAACGTCTCCACCATCATTAAAACCTGTCGCGGGTCCATTTTGGGTGCTCAAGTTTGTTTACGTTCACCCGGAAGTAGAACTTCTTCTTCTGTGTTTTTTTTAAGGAGAGTTTACCACTCTGCGCATGTCAGTACTGCTGTTCAGAACAAAGCCCGCTGCATGTAAACGCTCGTCATGAACAGATTGTGCCCATGTAAACAACACATTTGAATTATTCAAACAGAACACATTTCAATCAGGTCAAAGAATTCTGCGCATGTAAACATAGCTAGTCTCAGACTGGCAAACGATCTGAACGACTTCTATTCACACTTTAAAGTCATGGACTCAAATTCCTCCATCCTCCACACCAACCCCAGCCCAACTGGTTTAACGACTTTGGACTGCCCCCGACAACCCCCTGCTATCTCTGTACAAGAGGATGAAGTAAGGAGGCTTTTTAAAAGGCTGAATACACATAAGGCTGCAGGCCCAGACCTTGTGTCACCCTCCACGCTGAGACATTGTACTGGAGAGTTGTCTTCGGTCTTCACAGGGATCTTCAACTCTTCTCTGGAGTCATGCCACGTCCCAGCCTGTTTCAAGTCCTCCATCATCATCCCTGTTCCCAAGAAGCCACGTGTCACAGGACCAAATGACTACAGACCTGTAGCTCTCACGTCTGTAGTCATGAAAACCTTTGAACGCTTGGTTTCATCTCACCTCAAGTCCATCACCAGCCCCCTCCTGGACCCCCTGCAGTTTGCCTACAGGGCCAACAGGTCTGTAGATGATGCAATAAACCTGGCTCTTCACTTCATCCTGCAGCACCTGGACTCCCCAGGAACCTACGCCAGGATCCTGTTCGTGGACTTAAGCTCTGCATTTAACACCATCCTCCCTGCTCTGCTCCAAGACAAGCTCTCCCTGCTCCATGTACCTGACTCCACCTGCAGGTGGATCACAGACTTCCTGACAGACCGGAGTCAGTGCGTGCGGCTGGGGAGAGCTGTCTCGGACACTCAGACTGTAAGCACAGGATCTCCACAGGGCTGTGTGCTCCCCCCCCCCCCCCTGCTTTTCTCCCTGTACACCAACTGCTGCACCTCTAGCCATGACTCTGTGAAACTTATTAAGTTTGCAGATGACACCACCCTCATCAGGCTCATCTCGGACGGTGATGAGTCTGCATACAGGAGGGAGGTGGACCGGCTGGTGACCTGGTGCAGCAGCAACAACCTGGAACTCAATGCCCAGAAGACAGTGGAGATGATTGTGGATTTCAGGAAAGCCACAGCCCCTCTGCCCCCCCTCACCTGTAATGATACCCCTATCACCACTGCAAACTCTTATCGGTGTCTCGGCACCACCATCACCCAGGACCTCAAGTGGGAGCCGACCATCAGCTCCCTCATCAAGAAGGCCCAGCAGAGACTGTACTTCCTGCAACAGCTGAAGAAGGCCAAGCTGCCGGCCAAGCTGATGGTGCAGTTCTACACGGCCATCATCGAGTCCATCCTCAGCTCCTCCATCACGGTGTGGTACGCCGGGGCCACTGCCAGGGACAGACTGAGACTGCAGCGCGTTGTGCGTTCAGCTGAGAAGGTGATCGGCTGCAGCCTTCCATCCCTCCACGACCTGTACGTCTCCAGGACTGTGAGGCGAGCAGGTCGGATCACAGCTGACCCTGCTCACCCTGCACACGGTCTGTTTGAACCACTCCCCTCAGGCAGGAAGCTTCGGTCCATTCAGACCAGAACCTCCCGCCATAAGAACAGTTTCTTCCCCTCTGCTGTTGGACTCCTGAACACTCATAATGCTATCTCATAATTTCTGCTTTGGTCACATTACATCTGTATTATAAATGAATACTCCATCTGTACTGTTTTCTAAGCTTTTTTATTGTTTTCTATTGTATGGGTGTACACATGTTTATATTATGTTTTTAATGTTACTTTATTTGTGGGTGTACACAGGTCTTATGCCTTATGTAATGTTCTCATTTTTACTTCATTTTTACTTTATTTTACTTTATTACTATTCGCACCTTATGTCGAAGAAAATTCCTAGTTTGTGAACCTCCTTCATTGACATAGCAATAATAAACTGATTCTGATTCTGATAAAAGGTAATCCTCCAACAAATTCTGAATCTTGAGTTTTTTCATTTTTATTTTGGGTTAGAGTGACCTTGATTCCTTTATTTTATTTTTCTAAAAGCATGTGCTGAGAAATTTAGAGTTCAACTTCATGACAGGAACAAAATGTTCCTCTGCAGGAACAAAACGTTTTGCAGAAACGGTGAATGTCAAACCTCACCTGTGAGGTACAAATGTTTCCAAAGCCAAGTCCATATCTACTTTGTTGCCATGACGACAATACTGTTGGTCCTGGATGATCTTCAGCTCCTTCTTCCCTTCAGACTTCAAATGATCCGTTTGAGTGCCTAAAAAAACACCACAAAATAGCTTCATATTTTTACATTGGAATATGCCACCATTCTGAACAATTACATAAAAACAAAAACAATTTTATTTGAAAGGAACATCGTGGAGTGTCATGTACTATAAAACATATATTTGGGTCACAACGGATTGAAAAATTTGAAAAAAATACTGCAACTTACTTTGTATTAGCTTTAGCACCAATCAATTTGTCATCAAGGGAACTATTCAAATATTTGAATGTAAAAGTATATTGCTTTTTTTCCCCCCCTTGTCCTGTCTGGCATTGTGACACTTAGAATTATTGTCTGAGTGTCAAAGTGATGCCCAACAGATTTACTTTCACAAACAGAGCATTATGGCTGGCCTTAATGCTCCACTTGATATATAAATTAAAATTTATTAAAATTTGCGTTGGGTTTGTTTCAGATGTAATGGACATGGGGATGAAAAACAAAGAAAAAAAAGCAGAAAAGTGAGAGAAGGGTTAAAAGGTAAAGAAGGAGATGAGAGAGAGAGAGGTATAAAGAGAACACAAATCAACATAATTGAAGTCTGCCTCTAGACCTGCGGGGAAAAAAACAAACAAACAAACAAAAAAAGACAAAATCGAGAAACCACGACAAAAAACAACGTATATAACAATACTTATAACATCATTAGAAAGTATTTTATACAGTACATGGTAATACAAGATATATTTAGTGGTCTCCACAACCCAATTGAGTGTGTATCTGATAAACACCTGAATCTAAAAAACCGGATTCCAAAAAAGTTGGGACACTAAACAAATTGTGAATAAAAACTGAATGCCATGAAGTGGAGGTGCCAACATCTAATATTTTATTCAATATAGAACACAAATCACAGATCAAAAGTTTAAACTGAGAGAATGTATCATTTTAAGGGAAAAATCTGTTGTTTCCAAATCTCATAGCGTCAACAAATCCCAAAAAAGTTGGGACAAGTCCATTTTTACCACTGTGTGGCATCCCCCTTCTTCTTACAACACTCAACAGAGGTCTGGGGACAGAGGAGACCAGTTTCTCAAGTTTAGAAATAGGAATGCTATCCCATTCATGTCTAATACAGGCCTCTAACTGTTCAGTCGTCTTGGGCCTTCTTTGTGGCACCTTCCTCTTTATGATGCGCCAAATGTCCTCTATAGGTGAAAGATCTGGACTGCAGGCTGGCCATTTCAGTACCCGGATCCTTCTCCTACGTAGCCATGAAGTTGTGATTTGCTGCAGAATGTGGTCTGGCATTATCGTGTTGAAAAATGCAGGGTCTTCCCTGAAAGAGATGAAGTCTAGATGGGAGCATATGGTGTTCTAGAACCTGAACATAGTTCTCTGCATTAATGGTGCCTTTCCAGATATGCAAGCGGCCCATGCCACAAGTGCTCATGCAACCCATACTATCAGTGATGCAGGCTTCTGAACGGAGCGTTGATAACAACTTGGGCTATCCTTGCCTTCTCTGGTCCGGATGACATGGCGTCCCAGTGTTCCATAAAGAACTTCAAATCGTGACACTTCTGACCACAGAACAGTCTTCCATTTTGCCCCACTCCATTTTAAATGACCCCTGGCCCAGTGCAAACGTTTGAGCTTGTGGAGCTTGCTTAGAAATGGCTTCCTCTTTGCACTGTAGAGTTTCAGCTGGCAACGGCGGATGGCACGGTGGATTGTGTTCACTGACAATGCTTTCTGGAAGTATTCCTGAGCCCATTCTGTTATTTCCTTGACAGTGGCATTCCTCTTTGAGGTGTAGTGATGTTTAAGGGCCCGGAGTTAACGAGCATCCAGTAGAGTTTTACGGCCTTGACCCTTACGCACAGCAATTGTTCCAGATTCTCTGAATCTTTTGATGAAGTTATGCACGGCTGATGATGATAACTTAAAAGTCTTTGCTGATTTACGCTGGGTAACACCATTTTGGTATTGTTGCACTATCTTTCTGCCCAACAATGGTGGAATTGGTGATCCTCTTACCATCTTGGCTACTGAGAGACACTGACACTCTGAGAAGCTCTTTTTATACCCAATCATGTTGTCAATTGACTTAATTAGTATTATTGGTCTTCCAGGTGTTTGTTATATGCACAATATCCTTTTTCCAGCCACTTATTGCTACAGTTTCCGAACTTTTTGGGGATTTGTTGACACTGTGAAATTTTGAATCAACATATTATTCATTTAAAATATTACATTTACTCTGATGAAAATTTTGATTTGTCATCTATGTTATAGTACAAATAAAATATTGACATTTGCCATCTCCACATCATTGCATTCAGTTTTTATTCACAGTTTGTTTAGTGTCGCAACTTCTTTGGAATCCGGTTTGTATATATATATACTTGTATATATATACATATATATATATATACATACATACATACATACATACATATATA